GGTTTTTCCCTTGAAGAGGAAAGGGTGATGCAGCAAAGTAGCGTAAGTATTTCCCTCAGTTTTGGGAACCAAGGTATCAATCCAGTAGGAGACGACGCACAAGTCAGTGAATACCTGCACAAACAATCAAGAACATTGCAACCAACGCGATAAAGGGGTTGTCAATCCCTTTACGGTCACTCGCAAAAGTGAGATCTGATAGAGATAATAAAGTAAATATTTTTGGTATTTTTGATGTATAGATTGGAAAGTAAAGATTGCAAAATAGTAAACGAGATTCAACAATATGGAAAAGAGATGCAATATAATGGAAAAGAGACCCGGGGGCCATAGGTTTCACTATTGGCTTCTCTCGAGATAGCATGTGTTACGGTAGGTGAACAAATTACTGCCGAGCAATTGATAGAAAAGCGCATAATTATGAAGACATCTAAGGCAATGATCATGAACATAGGCATCACGTCCGTGTCAAGTAGACCGAAACGATTCTGCATCTACTACTATTACTCCACACATCGACCGCTATCCAGCATGCATCTAGAGTATTAAGCTAATAAGAACGGAGTAATGCATTAAGCAATATGACATGATGTAGAGGGATAAACTCAAGCAATATGATATAAATCCCATCTTTTTATCCTCGATGGCAACAATACATTATGTGCCTTGATGCCCCTACTGAACAAACCCACTACACATCGAGTGGCAGGGTATGTGTGTAGGCCTTTTCAAGGACATTCGAAACAACATGTCGATGTGTAATTCTTCATGAAGTTTTGCATGAGTTGAAAACCTCTCACTCTGAAGGAATTTTGCTTCAGTTGGGCCGAACTTCTAAAAAGCAGCCCACCCGCTTCCATAGAACAATATCGCGCGAGGGTGAGCTAACTCCAAAAACCCGTCCTCAGTTCGGATTGCAGGCTGCAACTCGCCTGCATGAAGCAGGAATCGCTAGTAATCGCCGGTCACTGTCACTGGAAAAGGAGACCGCAAGATTAAACCCAAAGCTAAGCACTTCTCCCATGGCAAGAAAGATCAATCTAGTAGGGCAAACTAAATCGATAATTCGAAGAGACTTGCAAAGATATCAAATCATGCATATAAGAATTCAGAGAAGAACCAAATAATATTCATAGATAATCTTGTTCATAAATCCACAATTCATCGGATCTCGGCAAACACACCGCAAAAGAGTATTACATCGAACAGATCTCCAAGAACATCGAGGAGAACTTTGTATTGAGAATCAAATAGAGAGAAGAAGCCATCTAGCTAATAACTATGGACCCGAATGTCTGTGGTAAACTGCTCACGCTTCATCGGAGAGGCAATGGTGTTGATGTAGAAGCCCTCCGTGGTCGATTCCCCCTCCGGTAGATCACCGAAAAAGGCCCCAAGATGAGATCTCACCGGTACAGAAGGTTGCAGCAGTGAAAAAGTGGTTTCATGGCTCCCCCTGATGTTTTTAGGGTATAAGAGTATATATAGGCAAAAGAAGTACGTCGGTAGAGCTACGAGGGGCCCATGAGGGTGGGGGCGTGCCTACCCCCTGGGCGCACCCTCCTGCCTCGTGGACGCCTCTGACTTTAACTCCAAGTCTTCTGGTTTGCTTTCGGTCCAAGAAAGATCATCGCGAAGGTTTCATTCTGTTTGGACTCCGTTTGGTATTCCTTTTCTGCAAAACTCTAAAATAGGAAAAAAATAGAAACTGGCACTGGGCCCTCGGTTAATAGGTTAGTCCCAAAAATAATAGAAAATAGCATATTAAAGCCCATTAAACATCCAAAACAGATAATATAATAGCATGGAACAATAAAAAAATATAGATACGTTGGAGACGTATCATGGTCCTCCATGAAACTCTTCACGAAATACATTCGAAGAAACTCGACGTGGTTATTTTCAAAGTGGATTCTGAGAAAGCATATGATAAGGTCAAATGACCCTTCCTCCAACAGGCCTTACGTATGAAGGGATTCAATGAAACCTAGAGGAAACATGTGGATTTCTTTATTCAAAAAGGTAACATTGGGATTGAGGTGAATGATGATATATGTCATTATTTCCAGACTTATAAGGGCTTAAGACGGGAAAATCCTATGTCTCCCGTTCTGTTCAACATGGTAGCTGATATGTTGGCAGTCCTTATCGGTCGGGCCACAGAGAATGGCCAAGTAGGTGGACTAGTTCCACATTTGGTGGATGGGGACATGTGTATCCTACAATATGTGGACGATACAATTATTTTCATGGAACATGATCTTGCAAAAGTTAGAAATATGAAGCTTGTGCTTTGTCTTTTCGAACACTTGTTGGGACTCAAGATCAACTTTAATGAGAGTGAACTGTTATGTTTTGGGAGAGCCAAAGAGGAATAAGAATCTTATAGACAATTGTTCGGTTGTGAGATGGGTTCCTTACCGTTTAGTTACCTGGGAATTCCCATTCACCGTCGCAAATTATCGAATTAGGAGTGCAAGTGTATTGAAGATAGGTTTGTAGAAAGGCTAAGTTGCTGGAAGGGCAAGCCTATATCTTATGGGGGTCAGCTCATGTTGATAAACTCAGTTTTGACTAGCATGTCGATGTTCCTTCTATCGTTCTTTGGCGTTCTTGTAGGGGTACAAAAAAGATTATATTTTTACCAATCTTGATTCTTCTGGCAGTGTGATGAGGGCAAGACGAAATACAGATTGGCCAAATGCGATATAATTTGCATACCCAAAGACCAAGGTGGGTTACGGATAGAAAACCTTGAAGTCAAGAAAAAATGCCTTCTTAGCGAATGGCTTTACAGGTTGTCTATTGAGACGGAAGGTACGTGGGTACAAATTTTGCGTAACAAGTACCTACAAACAAAAACTTTGGCACAGGTTACCGCTAGACCCACTGACTCACCGTTCTGGAAGGGACTGATGAGGACGAAAGAAACCTTCTTTCACAGGGTGAAGTTTACTGTAGATAACAGTAATACAACTAGATTCTGGGAAGATGTGTGGTTAGGGGAGACGTCCTTGGCTATAAAGTACCCCACTTTATATAATTTTGTACAATGAAAGGAGGCTTACATTGCTATAGTATTACAATCGGTCCCTCTTAATATCCAATTCAGACGGTCTCTGGTTGGGGAACGATGGCACTCGTGGTTGCACTTGGTCCATAGGTTGATGGATGTTCAACTTACCGACCATCCAGATGTTTTTCTTTGGAATTAACTACGAACGGTAGTTTCTCGGTGAAATCTATGTATTTGGACCTTATCGACTCTGGGCCTATTCCGAGATCACTTCATATCTGGAAAATTAAATTTCCGCTTCGAATTAAAATCTTTATGTGGTTTGTCCACAAGAGAGTGATCTTAGCTAAGGATAATTTGGTAAAGCGTAGATGGGTAGGCAGTACTCGATGTTGTTTTTGTGATCACGATGAGACTATCAAACACCTCTTTCTCAACTGTCCCTTAGCCAAACTCCTCTGGCGTACTTTGCGTATAAGCTTTAATGTTAACCCTCCACTTAGTATTGACACGTTATTTGTGACGTGGCTAAATAAAGTTGAATCAAACTTAGCCGGACATATTCAGATAGGGATATGTGTGATGTTGTGGGCTATATAAACTGCAGAAATGATATGATCTTTAACCAGAATTTTTTTATCAACTTTCTGCAGGTTATTTACAGAGACACGGCTTGGATCCGTACCTGGTTGATACTCATCATGCTGACTTCAGAGGACTTTTAGTTACTGGGTGCAACCGGTCGAAGATGGTAGCACGGGCTATTTTTAACCGGTTTCAATGACGATCTAATAATAAGCTAGGTGTTTAAACGTCGTGGCCTGCTTTATTTTTCTGCCGGTTGTGGTATCTTTTATTTATTTTGTTGGACTCCTTTTGTGAGCGGATTTTAGACCTGGTACTTTGTTGGACATCTTTACGCTTAATAAAATGATGCATTCATAGGTCAGGGGTTATTATTATTTTTAAAGAGTGAGGACTATGGCTCGGGCAAACCCATAGAAAGAATCTTGATATATTCAGTTCAGACGCGGCAGCCCTAGTGCCGTGCAGGTGCAGTGCAGCGCAGCCAGCTGAAAAATCCTGCCCGTCCTCGTACGTACGTGTCGTGATCTTCAACGTGTTGCTAGCTGCCAGCAGCTGGTCTGTGTTGCTGCTACTGCTGCTAGCGATCTAAATGTTTTTATATTTCTTTACTGATGGAGTACTATTTATGCACTCAAGACACAAAAGAAAACCGCTTACTTCAACCATAGCCGGAAACAATCATGCATTTGTGGTGCATACCGGTTGTCTTGTCCATCAATTCACCCTTGCTGAATTTTGTATTCGATAATACTCTCACCGATTAGTAAACATTCTTGCTAAGTTTCAGTCCACTGAGAAAATCTTAGTCGATGCTATAACCGTGAGATCTTACATTGAGATTCATGTAATCTTTTTCAGTTTTCCTTTTCTCTCTAGCATATTATATCACTTAACTAAGACTTGGTTAAATTTCAGTCGACTGAGAGCTAGCCACACCCAAAGAGAGAAGGTCTAGAAGACATAAGAACCGTGCAATGTGGTACTACAGTACTAAAAAAAAACTTAATGTGGTGCATGAATTTTATACTCCATCAAACAACACTCAGCTGAGAGCTCCCAAAAAGGAAACTAATAATTAGTTACCATTTTTTATTTAATGTGGTACTCCTGCATTTTATACAAAGAACAACGATGTATTGTGGACCAAACACATATAATCACTACGCATGTAGCGCACCTGCAACGATAGCTTGCAGTGCATTGCAGCATGTCTTGAAGAAGTGAAGGACTTGTGGTGCTCTATACAGCATGAGGACTAGCTCGGGCAAACCCATGTAAAAAAAATCTGATATCTTCAGTTGAGACGCGTCAGCCTTACTGACATGCAGCGCAGCGCAGTGCACGGTAAGCGCAGCTCTGAGAAATCCAGCCCGTCGTCGGACGATCGTGTGGTGGCCTAGGACGTGTTGCTGGCAGCGGCTGGGCTCATGTAGACGACGTGCTGCAGGGGCCTCGCCGGCGTGGAGGAGCAGGACATGGAGGGGCTCTTCTTCACGATGGGGATGAGCGACTGCACCACGTCCGTCATCAGCGGCCGGTACTCCGCCTTGGTCTGTATGCACATCGCCGCGATCGCCGCCACCTGCATGCACGCGTCCACGATAAAGAAAAAGAAGCTCAGAGCTGCACATCCATGGCGGAAACCGATCGATCATGCACGGAGGGGGGGCGCTGGTCACCCACCTGGATGAGATCCTTGACGGGGAACTGGCCTTTCAGGGCCGGGTCGACCATCTGCACGAGCCTCTCGCGGTTCGTCAGCCGTGGAAGAGCCTGTCATCACAACGCACGTACAGGAGTCATTTACCATTAATTTCCACACGATGAGAACCAGACATAACAAAGTCTCAGTCGACTGAGACTTAGGGCCTGTTTGGCTCTCCGCCGGCTCTGCAGAATTACGGGATCTGCGGAGCACCTACCTTCCAACTCCGTTATTTTAGCCTGTAGCTCCGTCAGCTCCGCGGAGCGAGTCCGGAGCGGGGGGACTCCGAACACCCCCTTAGTAAGACCGACGATATAATGGCATGCAGATTTCGTGATGTTTCAGGGCGCCCCAGCTGCTTACACAAAAGGGGTGTTCTATTATGCTCGTGTCCCCTGCTTCCGTTGAAAGCAAGCGAACAGAGTCCACAGAGCGCCACGTATGTTTGTGTTGTCGTTGGTCCTAATCTCGCTACTGCCACTACTATTATGTAATCCCCCCCTGCATTTATGCTGCGTGTCGAACATCTATCTCGGTGGCCACATGGTTGCCGCCGATGGTACGGATCCTAGGTGGCTAAGACAAACCACATGAGGAACGGTACGCTGCTGAACAGTGTGGTGAGTTGTGCACTGACCCATGAAACCAGGACGTGCTGTCCCGGCGGCCGCTGCGTGTCCACCGGCACCCGGCCCGTCAGCAGCTCCAGGAGCACCACCCCGTAGCTGTACACGTCCGACTTGGTCGTCAGCTTCCCCGTCGACGCGTACCTGCAACGCAAACCAGCAACAGCACCATCAGCCATGGATCTTCATCTTCTTAACCAGAAGCTGGCAAATTCGTTTACATACTCTGGCGCGAGGTAGCCGGTGGTGCCGAGGACGCGCGTGACGACCTGGCCGTTGGCCTTGTTGGAGCCGACCTTGGCGGTGCCGAAGTCGGAGACGCGGGCGCGGTAGTTGTGGTCGAGGAGGACGTTGCTGCAGTTGAAGTCGCGGTGGATGACGGCGGGGGAGGTGTGCTCGTGCAGGAACTCCAGCGCGCGGGCGCAGTCCAGCGCGATGCCCAGCCGCGTCTGCCAGTCCAGCGCCGGCCGCTGCTCCCCGGCGGCGGGGACGACGGCGGGGTGCAGGTGGCCCTTGAGGCTGCCGTTGGGCATGAACTCGAACACCAGCAGCCGGTGGCTCTGGTCGGCGCAGTACCCCAGCAGGCCCACCAGGTGCGGCGAGTGCATCCGGCTCAGCAGGTCCACCTGCAATAAACCGTAACCAAATGATTGATTGCATGGATCGATCAACACCCTGATCATTATTGATGGGGTTACATCAAATCCGGAAAACTAAAGTTAATGCCTTGAACAGGCTTAATTAAGATACCTATTTTGCGGGTATAAACATGGAAAGAGTGCAAAAGAAGCAAGGGCGTCGACCCCTACAGGCTACAGACACACACGTGGATGCCATTCGTCTCCGATTCATGGATGAAATCGGGCAAGCAGAGAAACATTGCGGCACTCAGGTGTGCCAGTCATCACCACTTACAGTATGATTTGCTAACGGCAGGTACGTAGATAGTATCAACAGCTAGGCAGTAGCCACCGTGCGCCCCCGGACTTTGCTGCTGCTCTAGAAGATGGCCCGGCTAGCTAGGCAATTAAACGCATGGACCGAGGCAGAAGGTGTCAGGTTCTTCATCTTGAATGGCGTGGATCCGGGACCTTCAAGTCAACCTGCCGCAGACCAGCACATGCATTGCCCGGGAACGAACTAGACCCACAAGAGCTATCGCGACAACATACCATCCAATTCTACACGTGATGTTAAAATACGGCATAGTCAATTCTACACGGCGCAGTGATCTGCGATAGGAGCGTCCAATCTGCCCACAGGAAACTGAGGCCCAGTTCTTTTCGTGCAGGATTCTGCAGAATCAAGATTCTGAAAAATTCTCGCAGAATCTACTGTCGAGTTCTTTTCTGAAATTGTAGTTTGAGATTGTGGACTGAGTTCTGTGCCGAAATGTCTATACTGCCCTTAGCCATCAGCACATACATACATCATCTATTCATCAGCACATAATTACCAAGCACCAAGTAGCAGTACCGAAATAGCAAGCAATTTATAGCAAATTATCAAGCTACAAATTCAAAGAATCAAACATACAGCAATCCATTACCAGTACCATTTATTCATCAATCCATGCACTATCCATCCATCTATTCACCTAGATATTGGCAGAGAAACAAACAGAAGTGACAGAAGAATACAGAGGAGGCAAAAGAGAAACGAGACAATGAACGGGAGCTCGCGTCCGGCGGGCGTCTAGGAAGGGCGGCCTGCGGCGAGCACACGGTGGTGGGCTAGCTCTCCCGTCCAGCGGCGTCGCGAGGAGCGGGGCTGGCGGAGCTCCCGTCCGGCAGCGGCGAGGTGGGCCGTCGTGAGGAATGGCGGGGCTGGCGGAGCTCCCGTCCGGCAGCGGCGAGGTGGGCCGTCGTGAGGAATGGCGGGGCTGGCGGAGCTCCCGTCCGGCAGCGGCGAGGTGGGCCGTCAGTGTTGGCGGAGATACGGCGGAGGGGAGGAGGAGCAGGGAAGGAAGAGGGGCAGCGGAGGGAGATAAGGCGGGCGGCCGCGGCGGCAAGGGCCAGGCGGCGGCGGCAAACCCTAGCCCTCGCGAACAGGGCGGCCGAGCGTTTTCCCCTGATGCGAACAGGGGCGGTCGAGCGAGAGCGTTTTCTCTCCAGCGCGTGGATGGGCTAGTGGCATTCTGGACGTAATTTCTCCATGGGATAGGGGTATTCCTATATTATGAAACGTTTTCAGAGGTGGGACTTGCCAAAATCTCAGGATTCTGGGAAAATCTAGCTTTCTGGCTGCTTTTGGATTGCACTAGGATTCTATAGAATCCTCTCCAGATTTTGGAAGTCAAAACGAGTTCTTTTGGCTTCAGATTTTTCAGACCAAAATTCTCCACAATCTGCTCAAAAGAACTGGGCCTGAATATGGCAGTCCAGTCCAAAATATGGTTTTGGCCGATGAGACAAGGCTACAAGAGAAGGTCCCAGGCTGAATTTTTCAGAAGTTAACTAACTAACTTGATTAGCCTGTGATGTGAGCCTAGGCTAGGCTCGCGACACTTGTCTGAAATGATTCAGCGAGCCAGGACGATAAGACCGCGGATTGCTAGCAGAGTCACGTACTACAAGGGCACTGACCTCCCCTGCCCGGATGGCAAGGGCGGTAGGGCACGGCGTGACCCTCCAGCTCGATCGGGAAGCCAGGCAAGGGACCCTGCCCTTTTCACCCGTGGCGCGGCAAGTTGCGCATGATCCGCCAAACAAACGTAGGAGGTAGGCACCGGCACTGCTATTCTGCCGCGGTTTCGCCTTGCTGACCCCGCAACACACCCGCTGCTCATTCTGCTGATGCTGCAGGTGGTGATGCGTCTCTCTCACTCCCCTAACTAAAGACAACACCAGCAGTCTGTCACCAACGCCCGCCCGCCCGCCCGCCCGTGGCCACGGAATGACCCAACCAGAATGCGTACTTGGATGCCTGCCTATGCCTTCCCAGGTAACGTACGTGTGCTCTAAAACCTCCCCGGCCCGGAGAGGCCCGTGCATGATCCGTCCCAGTCCCAGGCGCTCCGCAACAACAAACAGCACCAACAACCACGTACCACTCCCTCTCCCTGCTGCCGCTGCTGGCTCAATTGCGGGTAGAAACTAGACCAAGGTTGGTACGCGAAGCGAAGGCGGCGGGCGTACGCAGCACGCACATGGACATCGGCGAGACGTGAGCCGATCGATGTGGATATGCATGTGCGGCTTGAACAAATTAATTAATTCTACGTACTAAGGTGCGTTGCTGATTTTGTACCTCGACGCGGAACTCGCGCTCGCCCTGGCGCCGGGGGTCGAGCTGCAGGCGCTTGATGGCGGCCGGGGTGCCGTCGCCGAGGCGGCCGCGGAAGACCACGCCGTACGCGCCCCGGCCCAGCACGTTGCCCTCGCCGAACCCGTCCGTGGCGCGCTCCAGCTCCCGGTACGTGAACACCTGCGCGCCCCGGCTCCGCGGCTGCACCACCGCCAGCCCCAGAGGGCCCAGCCGCCCGCCGTATATGCACCCTGTGCCACACCGTCAAAAGTCCCAAGACAAACCAATCCGTCAGCACCAACGTTCCTCGAGGCCACACCACGGTGGACGGAGTACTGCTGCATTGGTTAAGCGAGCGAGCGCGCGCTTACGGCTTACCTGTGGCGGCGTAGCACCTGCCATTTTGGTAGCCGCGGACGCTGCTGCCGCAGCTGGACGCCGGCGCGCCGGGCTTGTCGCCGTCCACGCTGTCCCCGGCGGCCACCAGCCTGAGCTTCGCCCGGCGGGTCAGCACCAGGATGAGCGCCACGGCCACGAGCAGCACCAGCCCTATCGCCAGCGCCGAAAGCGGCAGTATCGCGAAGAGCGGGTTGGACCCGCCGTCGTCGCCGCCGCGCCGGAGGGGCGCCGGCCACGGGGACAGCGGCCAAGGCGCGAGGAGCGCGTCGGCAGCGACGTCGGCGGCCGCGAGCGGACTGAACGCTGCCACGTCTGCCATCCCCGCCCGAGGGTGGCCGGCCGGGCCAGCAGCAGCTCGAGCAAGTGGTGGAGCGGTGTACAGGGAGATAACGGAGTAGCGGGAGCGTAGCGTACTCGCGGAGGGAGATATTATAGGAGGGGAGGAGGGGCGCACGAGAAGGGAATAGAAGTGGGTATTGTTTCTCTGAATCTACCTGAGTGTGGTCTAGCAGTACTTTAACCTACGAAGCAATGTAACTGCACCTGACACAGCCCGGTACCTCGCCGGACACCGCCGATGTGGACGGAGCAGTAGAAGTAGAACACGCTGTCGTACGTTTCCGGTGAATTCACGCGGCGCTGGCGTGTCGCCATGGTCGCATCTTCGGACGTGCTCTGGCCTTGTCGCGCGAGGGACCACGCACGAACGGACGAACGTAAACGGCAGGCGCGGGCACGTACGCCGTGGCTTCCGCCGAACAGGGTAAAAGCCACCCTACGGACGGATCGGGGGGTTGTCTGACGGCGAGTAGATGCGCGCGAGCGTGGCCGCCGGTCCGGGCGGGCAAGGCGCCGAAAAGGAAGAGGACCGGGGTCACCTCACATCACATGCCGCGGGCGGGGATGCGGCCACCGTTAAATTCCCGGCTCGTGACCGTCGTTTGGTTGTGTCTTCTGCTGCGCGCGCGCGCGCGCACGGGAAGCCCTGCGATGCGAGCCAAGGTGGCAAAAGAAGACGCGGGCTGGCTGGTCCCGGGAGGATAAAGGAACGGCGCGCTTAACTCTGCCGTAATACGGACGTCTGACGTCTAGAAGTTCCCTCTTCTGATGGTCAGGAGGTCGTACGTGCCAGCACCACCAGGTTATGTGCATTGCACATGTGAGCTGGTCGCGGTGTCAGAGGTTTATTACACGTCGAATCGAAGTGAATTGGGCTGCGAGTTGGCTCGTTTTACCCGCGAGATTGGAGAGCCAGCCGAGGTTAACAGAGATGAATGAACGCATGGCCGCACCGATTTGCTGCGTAGATCCGCCGAATCGTCCGTCTCAGACGCACCATACGCTTTCCATGCATGCAGGTCCAACGAAGGCGCGCCTGCTTCCAACAAAAAGGTCACGCGACGGCACGTACCGTGCCTTCGTCACGTATGTAGTTTTGCTGGATTACGAGCATTGTCACTCTCTCCGTCCCGTGAAAGTATATGTCTTCCTGCGATCTTTTTTTGCGGGTATGTCCTGATGACGATCTAGGGTTATGAATCACGGTAGAAACTAGAAAGGGGAATTGGGAGCACTGAGACAGAATTGGGAGCAGGTTGAGCTTGGACAGAATTGGGAACACTAAGACACCGAACTCCTTCTGGTGAGAGAGGCCAAAGCTTGCCGGTTGGGGTTATGGTTGGGGTTATGGTTGTCATGATGTTAATAATAAAAATGCCATGTTATTAATAATAAAAAATTACATGTTATTAATTATTAAATTTTCATCCTCTTATTAAATACAACTGCCTTCCTATTATTAATAATGAAAAAATGCATTCATCTTAACAATAAATCTACCATGGCCAGGTTAATAAAACTGCCATCGTCTTCATGAGTTGGTACTATCTCAAAAACAAACATAATTGAGAAGAACTTATTGATGCATGATAGTTTTGCCATGCCACTTCACACACAAAATGCCATGTGACCAAAAAAATTCAATTTGCTCTAAAAAAAACCATGTTTCACTAAACAAAAATTGCCATGTTTCTTAATTTGCGATATGATTTTTCTGCCATGTTTTGAGCTTCCCCATATGAATTTCTCACATATAAATTCTCTCTAAAAACTGCCATTTATGCCACCTGACACATAAATGCCAAGTGATCAATACAATTTGCTAAAAAAAAGCCATGTTTAACTAAGCAAAAGTTGCCATTTTTTAA